GGCTTTCGAGCCTATACAGCTTGGAGTAAGACAACATGCATGAAGAGGATGATGTGGACAAAATACTCATTTGCCTAATAATTCTGCACTCCCTGTATATAGTGCTTTCTACGCTACCTAAGCACACATGCTTCATTCACCCATTCACACTCGGTCATACAAGCTTTTTTTTTTTTCTTGGCAAGTGCTCTCTATCTAACATTCACACACATTCATACTCTAATGAATGCAGCAGAGAGCAATTCGGGGTTACCATCTTGCTCAAGAATATTTGGCATGTAGACTGGAATAGCCAGAGAAGCACAGTGTTGCAAGCCGAGTGTTTTTTTATTCACAGTGTTGCTTGGACTTCGAGTTTGCCCAGCTTTTCAGCTGCCCTCATCAACCCCTCACAACACACGGCTCTCCCATCAGGCTCCAGCATCCAACTTAAATGGGGAGATACAAACCACACACTGTCACAATGTCAAAGGCTGCAGGTTTGGGAGATTTGCTCCTTGCTGGCGCACATGTAGTGGGCCTTTATCCAAGCCAATGACAGGTACCAACCAGGAGTCCACAGAGACAGATGTGAGAAACCAATTCCTTTTGGGACAGGGAATCTTTGGGAGAGTGGGACAACCAGGCCTTTAGTTTCACTACCCATCTGTGAGACGTCCACCTGGTGAGAAGGAACATGACCCTGGACCTCGGTGGAGGAAGTTTTGCATGCATTGATCTAAAACAAAGCGTACTTATAAATATGCATATGCAGGAGTCTGTATTTCTGTCTCAGTTTTGACCCCAGCTAACTGTTGCTTCGTATGACTCTAGTCTGCGGTGTGTCTCGCAATACTTTGGAATGCTGGCCATGCTGAAGTATTTCATATCCCCTAAATGTCTGTAGAGTGGCCTCTCTCTCTCTCTCTCTCACACACACACACACACACACACACACACACACACACACACACACACACACACGCACACTATAAAAGAATCTTGGCTAGACTTCAACATGGAGACAGACCTCCTGCACAGTACTGCCTTTACCCTTCACCAGAGTTTTAAGTATGTGTGTATATGTGCTTCTGTGTCTCTGTGTATATGTCATTTTTGGGCCTAGAGCCTGAGGCCTGTATAATAAATGTCACTCTATCTGTCAATGCTATTCGCCAAATTTGAAGCAGCTCATTTTGTTCACTGTGGACTCTACACTTCTGCAGATATAATCAATTATTTTTTAAATCAAGTAATTCACTGCATTACTTTTAACATAACTAACAACTAGGGTTATAAATTATTTTTTCCATAATGACCCAGCCACCTTAAGAGTTTGAGTTGGTTGATAAGTGCTTTTGGAAAAACAGTACATCAAAACTACAATGCCTGGCTCTATTTTTCTCATAAACTTTAAATACCTACTCACCTAAGAGGCACCCTATTCAGACACCTGACCCACCACAGCTAGGTCTTTTTGATGCTGAGGAGCAGTGGTTCTGTTATGAGCTTTTTTAAAGCCTTAATCCAGAAACCGTTCAGGAGAATCTTATTATCAACGCTTTGAAAATAGCTACTCACCGCTTGTGGCCATAAATGAGGAAAAAATATCAACCACTAAATTGATAATGCACCAATCTATTAAAAGGTAGATCTGCATCTATTATAATGAAGCTAATTACACACCCAGTGACCAGACTCAGAAAGCAGTGGATAGATTTTAAATGTTTATTTACTGTGCGCTGGCTGAAAGTTAGTGGGCTGATACAGGGGATATTCCACAGATCCAAAGAATGATGCACAGGAGCTCTGCCAAAAGACACAGAGAGTTAGCAAATATCCAGCGGTGATAAGGTGCAAACAGAGGCGGGGGGAATTTACTGAGTTGGTCTTTCTTAAATAGCTGGCTTACAAAGGCATGGAGAGAGTGCTTGTGCAGCTTTTGACTGAACACAAATCTATGAATGATCCAGAGTAAGAGTGGGCAGGTCAGGGAACAGGTGAGTGCTTACTTTGAGAGCGTGCAAAGTTTGGATTCAGTCAAACATTTACAGTCTTGACTGAATGACTGGAAGCAGGAAAATATGAAGCAGGTGTAGGAAGGATGACACCCACAGAAGATCCCACTCAGGGGTGGGGCCAGTGCATTGTCAAAGAGACACAGTTAAAGATACACAGAAAACCAGTCTTCAAAGGCCACCAGCCACACCACAACAGCAGCAAAGGAGACCACAGACCAGCATAAACACCAGCAACTAGTTTAATATAATGGGACTGTTGACCACTCAAAGCACATTTTTGAAGTCATTATACAATATTAAATGATATACGATATATCGACTTGCTTCCTAAATCATTTGGTGTCCATCATTGACAATAAGCAGAGAAGTCTTTGTCCTGCTAGGTTTTTGTGGCAGTAGTCTTACCATGGACCTACAGACTATTAAAAAGTTTGCAGATGAATGATTTTGTAGGTTTTGCATGCAGCTGTGATAACACTGAGGCTCTGCCAAGCTCAACACACACAAGGAATAATAATTGCATCTTTATAAGTACCAACAGAATGCTGAGGTGTACAATTGTAAATGGCTTCATTAAATGCAACGCATGCATGAATTCACTCTAGAATGCCCGGAACAATGATACTCTGTTTTGTTCAGACGTGGGTGATGTAGGATTGAAGACATATATTGCATCAACATAATTGATGGCATAAATGACATATTAATGTAATATGTCATTTAGAAAAAAATAAGAAAAAAGTGTGATGATGAATGAGCCAGTTTAAAAGGTAGCTGGTTAGTTTGACAGGCCACCAGGGTCAATGACCTGCAGTCCAACAGTATATAATGTTTATGTGACCTTCAGTTTCAGTTCCTCATCAAAATGTGTTGTAGCATTAATAAGTTATGGCACATATTTTTCCTTTGTTTTCTTTCAATTTAAGGGCAAAATGGTTAATAAGAGATAAGATAAACCTTTATTAACTTTTGGTCAAGGCAGAAAGTTAAGAGCATTAAAAATGAATAGCCCTGAAAATGAAACATTAAAAAATTAGATCCCTGCCTCTGCTAAATTATTTATATCCCCACTGGGGAGAGAAACATAGAAACATTCCTACTTTGTGTTGACCACATACCTGATTGCTGAAGTTAGGTTATTCAAAACCCAACTTGTAAAATACATTCAAACCTGTGCTATCTCACTGTTATTGAATGCAGTGAAATTACCATAAATGCATCTTACTTTTTTGGTGTCATTTTGATTTTCCCACGAACAACTGCAAAATACTGCATTACTGCAGAAACCCATTCTTAAATTATAGTAAATATTGTCAAATCTTGAGACTAAATTAGTTATCAAAAGCTTGCAAAACAACTTTTTCCCATCAAATCATAAAGTTTAACCGTGATAGCACCACAACAACCATGAAAGAATGAATATGCTAATGTTTTATTTTTGGAGTAAGAGTTTCAGCTGTGACTCTGTCCATAATTTCGTCGTACACGTACAATAACAATAAAGGGCTGTTCTTCCGTTCTTCAGTACTATTCTACACATATAACTTATTTGTATTATATAGCATTCTACAAAAGAACTAAAAACCAAACAAAAACAAACTGTTGATGCAGTTTCTGTCAACTGGTGACAGAGGTCAGTAGAAATGATCGATTACTGTTGCCATCCTCTGAGCTGTTTTTCCAGAGACGTGGTTACTTGTATGCTCTTACTTTGAAGGCAGCCTACTTTCCTGTAATTGTGCGCCTTGGCGTTCTTAATTGCCGGGACAGCCTCTGTTGACCCTCCGGATTTATCAGTTTCCATGTGACCGGGCTTTCATCCACAGCGGGGTTCACACACACACACACACACACACA